CCATCAATTATTTTTTTCATGTTTAGTATTATTTCCCTAAGCTGCTAATATCTAACATATATTTTTTTTTACAGTAGTCAGAATAGCTTTTTTTCCTGGCATACATTACAGAAAACTGTTAATGATATTACTAGTTATAACTGATCAAAGCCAAGTAGTAAAATACTCTTATACTTTATCACAAGAAAAAAGAACTAACAATTATTTCTATATAAAATGCGAGAAGAGTCATAAAAGTAAATTTCTTGCAGAATGGAACACAGTGGAGAAATGTCCCCCAAAAACATTTATTTAATTCAATCTAATCTGCAGTACTTTCACATAAACTGATTAGTAGTAAATATAAGCATTTTATAGCCTGAGGGGTCAGTAACCCAGAAGTGGAAGAAAATGGCTAAAGATTTTATTTTTTCTTCAGTCGTATATCACAGATATTCCATCCTCCGTAAAGTTGCAGAGTAAATCCAGGCCTATTAAGGGAATAGCTCTCTCCACCTAACTAGAGTTATTTTGACTTAGGCATGCATTTAAATCTCTATTCTAACAACAAAAATCTGTAATTTAAATATGAAATTCTCTGTACTAAATTATTAAGATGTAGGTTATGTAGAGCAATGACAACGGGCAAAAGATAATTAACAATGCAAGAGATTGTAGAAAAATAAAAGAGGACTTATCAAATGGATTTAAGCTGTGTTGTCTTAATATTGAGATCAAGTGTAACATAAGTTTTTCCAAGGATGGTTTTTGATATTATGATTTGTAAACCAAACCTGGCTTTTTGTGAACAGTTTTAACTGCATTTTTTTTTCATAAGAGCTGTAAACCACATCTGTCTAATGGAAGGCATTAAATATATCTATAACAACTTAGTGAATAGTTCCAAGTAGTGAGGTGGATCCTCCTTTTTCTAATCAAAGGAGTCACTTGCATCACTAGTGTGATTTCTGGGTGCACAGAAGAGAGGTGATGTAAGGTTACTGGCAATGTATTATTTAGATGGCAATTTTTTGATACCTTTTTACTTTATCTTATCCGGCCACAGTAAAAAGAAATAAAAAAGTTGAACAAAACAAAACAAAAATCTGTCTATAGCAACTTTGAGTCTGTTTAAACACCATTGATTAGCTAATAAAATTCTGATTGATAAAGAATAAAACAATTATATTGTGTTGGTATCTCACTGAAGATCATAACCCATCCAACCAAATGGCCTATGCAACATGGGGAAATATGATTTGTGTCATTAATCTGTCACATCCCATTCCCTTCAGGCAACACAGTCCTTACACTGCTTCAGTATGCATGTTTCCTAAAAACTCCAGCTCTAAGTAACAGGAAAAAAAAAAAAACAACTCTAGGGAGATAAGAACTCTGTAATGAAATCAACATTTCCGGTTAGATATTTTAGTGCCGCCATCAACAGCTGGGGGATTGTTGAACAAATTTTTATTTTTTTATTTAACTCTCCTTCTTGAATGGCTAAAACATACTAATCTAGCTCAGTCAGGTTTAATGGCAGGCTGTTGTGCTCTAGTTTTCTTGACTACACCAGATTAAAGTGCTTAACTGTAAAATGTCCAGTTACTGTTGGTATATTTGATGGATGCAGCTGTATTAGCTGCTTGTTTTGTCTTGAGTAGTTATAAATATTTTTCAAATTTTTTTTTATATCTTTTTAATCATTGATGGCACAAAGGCATTTGATATGGGAAAATAAGCACACCAGCCACTCTTTAGCATTTGTTCTGCAATGTTACTTTGCAAAGTTATTTAAGTAATTTTCTTCGTAAAGAATTAATATATGTAAATAGTTTAAAAACACATCTTATATTTAAGGCCATAGAAGAAGGGCTTTTTAAGTCATCAAAATATTGTGGCAGGATACATGGGAATGGGCTTAGTCAAAAAAAAAAAAATTAACCAGGATCAGAGGGTTTGAATTCATTTGGGATGGCAAACCTCACAGCCTAGAGATTATTCGTTGCAGTCACTATTACAGGAGCCTGGAGACAAATCACACTGAAACAGTCAGCTGTGGTGAAAAAGCCTGGAGAAACTGTAAGATATCCTGTATTGTCAATGGATTTGGCATAGACAAAGAACATGTCACTGAAAACGACAAACGATGATAATTGATTGAAGACATTCAGGGCCGTGGAAGGAATATTCGTCATCCTTTGCAAGACAATTTAATTTGATGTATCAAATAGCACTGCACACCATCCACCAGCATTAGGTATTTGACAAAGAGAGATTCTGCTCTTTACTTCTGTGCTCATACAGCACAGTGACTAAAAACACCACACCACTCGTGTAAAAGTGTGTGACTCCTGGATGGGGCCAGATGTTCAGCTGGTTGACAGTTGCCTTTTGTATCTCTGCTTCTGTCTCCTCAAACCCCAGTTGATCTCAGCAGATGGCTGCTCAGGCTGAGCCTCGTTCTACTGGAGGTTTCCTTCTGTTAAAAGGGAGTTTTTCCTCTCCACTGTCCCTACAAGCATGCTTAGTGTGAGGGATTGCCTTCGAGTCAATAAGTTGGTGCTGTCAACTGGTTTTCCTTAGATGGAAAACTGTGAATCAATCTGACTGTATGATCTGGTTGAATTGTAAAGTTTCTTGAGATGACATGTGTTGTGAATTGGCGCTATATATATAAGCAAAATTGAATTGAACTAAAAATCTCCCAGATAACAACAATCAATGGAATCATAGTTTTAGATAATATTAATACATCCTGTAAACATTGTATCAACTCAACATTATCAGATGATTTTTAATTGTGTTCACAATTATAATTTAAAATAGAATACCTATTCAATTGAACTTTATCTCTCTCTATGCACATCTGGACTAATTTGTGTCTCTCCAGTGACAGCAGAATGCAGCAGGCACATCACCAGATGGATGGTTTGATCATTTACTTTTTCCTTTATCTAAAGCACTGTATGTATACTGTACAACCCTTAGCCTTAGTTTCCTTCCCTGGATCATTCAAAAAGGTTTCAGAGATGATAAAGTGTTTCTTTTCAAAAAGGATTTGGCTGAATTTATTTATTTGTTCTGTTTATCTAAAATAATGATTATACATGGAAAACATGAAATTATATCCAAAAATATATTTGCCGAAAAACATGTTCAAATGAAATGCTATCAGTTGCAGACCAACCAAGTGGAACCATCTGTGCAAAGGATGTAGAACAGATATTTTGTGTTTAATAACATAAAATAAGCAATGACCAGTTTTTAAAATTGAATCTATTTACAAAAATCATATGGTAATCCTGAACAGAATTCGGTTTTATTTACAACATGACTGTGCTTTGTTTCTTTTTCATTAAAGCAGCTTCAGTGTTTTTAGGATAATTTGGTGTAACAGGCGATTCTCTCAAGTTACATAGGAACGTTTTTTAATTATTATTTTAGAATTGCACTGCTAATGGTGACTGCATGTTAAACTACCTCTGCTTCCATCTGATTTTATTTATTAAGAGAACTTTAGTTACTAATCACTCAGAAACTAACTCACACCAATTGTCAGTATTTTTCTGATGTTTCATGCTGTGCATCTGGAATAATTTTTTATAACATTTTAAAAATTCTTTTACATTTGTTATTATGCATACTCATTGCAACTGTAGCGAGTTGGTAATTTACATCAAAGAGCAGCTCATTAAATTCTCAAAAATAGAAATAAAAATTCAAGTACTTACAAAAGTACCAGCTAGTTTAACAAGGAAGATGCACAGCAGGAGTGAGAAGAGAGAGGAAAAAATAATTCAAGCCACCCCTTTTTAGCAATTATTGTGGGCAATATGACATTTTTGGGAAAGAAGTTCCAAGAACTCTGAGCCCTAGTGAGGACCCACACGTAAACTACACATAAATTTAAATGCACTTTTGGTTTTGCTCCCATTTTTATGAGATGAACTCAAAGATCTAAAACCTTTTCCACAAACACAATATCACCAGGGCTGTCTAAGGAATACCTGTGCACTAGTCATGGTTTCTAATCAGCATCTCTAAATATTACACCAGTGAGGTGGGGTGGGTTATCTCAGCAAAGGAGAAGTGCTCACTATCACAGATTTAGACGAGTTTGTGAGCAATATTTAAGGAAAATTGACAATTTTCTTGAGATGAGGCCTCATGAAGCATTGAACGTTTTGCCGAATTGCTTCAATGATCCCCACAGTTCATGAAGCTTTATGTGAACATGTTACCACCTACTGGTGAAGTGCAGAACTACGGTTAGTAATATAAACAGATTTTTTGCAATTGTTTTTCTTGTTTTTCTCCCCCCATTTAAGTTCCTTTGAAATTGTTAATGATTGGCTTGTATAATAAATTTTTTATGTTATATTTCTTATGTGTTCAGCCAATCTTTTGGCTAAACCAACCATAAACCTTAATTTCGCAGTGTTTTTACCCAATCTATATTTGTACTATACAAAACAAATTAGTCACATTAGCCAAAATACTTCTTAAGTATTATGGCAACTTTCAAAATTCAAAAGTGGGTCTTGAACCAACATTCTTATGATTGAAAGTCCATGTCTTACAACTGACGCCGCTGGCAATGGTAATTGCACATCAAAAAACAATACTACTAACTACTAATGTTACAACTGTAACCAGGAGCCTGCTCAGATTTTGATCATTACATTGTTTAATCTGAACAAAATAGTTTCACTAACTAGATTGGTTGTTTTTTCAACCAATCTATTCTTAGAATATATCCAAACTCCATCCAACTGATAGCAACTCTCATACAAACTCCCACATTTTGACTGAATATCGAGGCTGTTTAAATGAATGTAAAAGTTCTCACACCTCGACACGCACTTCAGGGAACTTTTTCTTATCAGATTCAAGTTTGTGGTGGAGGGTGGTCTTTATCAGATTACTGCTTCTGCCACTACACCCTTTTCGGATTGTTTTTGCAGTTTCATGGGTTAAGGTAGGAGCTACAACTCTGACAAAAACTAGAGCTGCCAAGACTACAGCCGACAGTAACTAAACATGACTGAGCTGGAGGATGAATGAGCAGCTGCTGCCGTCAATGTGCTGTCAGACTTCAGAATTTCCTCTTTGAAAAAGAAACAAGAAGAGTGGGTTAGTGTCTATTGCTATTTAATTTGTTACCATGATTAACTAAAACCAACCTTTAGATAGGTCCTAGGTGTGGCTTCACCCATTCAACTTGAAAGGTTATGCTGAATGACCCTCCTGTTCCTAATTAAATGGCAGCAATCAGAGGTAAATGATGAGCAGAACTAAACCTGAGTGCAACAGAATATTAATCTGGCGTGCCAGATGAGAATTACAGTCATATAAATGAATTAGCATATGCATTCTGTCAAGACTTGCTTATCAGATTCACAGCGATTATTAAAAATAACCCCCACACATGTATTACACATACACATTTTTTTCTGTTAAAGTCTTTATTAATCCAAACGTTCTTTACTAAAATACATTTTTTATCCCCATTTTATATTATCATTAGCTCTCAGAGGAAAATCATGGTAGTTAGAAGAAATACGAGCTTAAAAACATCAGTCTATGTATAATTTGTATATTGTGTTTACATTTTTGAACTGAGCTACTGTAAATAATTACCATTTTAAATAGTTATCCATTAAATATGACAGTATAAACATCAGCAAGTTTTGTGTAAATGAAGTTAATTCTTTGATCAAATGCAATTTTTTTTATTTGATGACGTCAAAGAAATCGGTTAATTCTAACTCTACTTCAGGTTTATAGAATAAAAGTCTGATTGTTGTCTGAGGATCAGTAAAGTGTGATGCTCTTCTGAGTTGAAAGCTTTCATGTAAAAGCTTGTCTCAGTGGAGGCTATGCCACCGAGATATACAGTAATACAAAAAACTACCAAGGCAATAACTGGAGGCATAACACACAAAATGATGCATTCTGCTAAATAAAACTTAAAAAAAAAAAATATTGATCCTTAATTTAGGGGTTTTATAAAAAATAAAAATAAATTTTAGCAGAAAAATCCAAAATCCAAGGTTGCTCTCTGCTGTTCCCACAATGGAAGAAGTTTAATTAAATAACACAAAATTAAAGAAACTCACCAGGATATCATATTTATGTAAAATGCTCCTTACTCCGTGTTTGTTTTTATCAGCATTTATATACAGTTTCTGTGTGCAACACTTTTATCTGCTCAGTGTTTTTCCTCAGGCAGTGAGTGAGAACACAGCATTGATGCCTCAGATAACTGGGGTAAAGGAACCAGACTAACAGTGACTTCAGGTACGTTTATTTTTATGGTTTTATTTAAAATGTTTACTTTTTTATTTTTTTGTTTATCTATTTATTTATTTTTTTGTTGGTGATTTTGTATTTGGTTCCCTGAAAAACACTATTGCCATGCGTTTACCAAAGTAATCCTTTTTAACTCAACTATAATAATAAGCAGAATATAAGTAAAATAACAGCAAACGTGTGAACTTAAAGTCACATTTACTTTTACATTATTGAAAAAGGTTATTTGATATAATGTAAAAAATGTACAACCTTAATAAAGCACGTCAACACTGTAATTTGCTCCATGTAACTTGTTCAAATTTATTTAAATGTGATAATTAAGAAATATAATAATAATTTTTTAATATGCTACATTAAACGGGCAAAAATAAGTAAAAAAATCTAGACTGTACAGATTTACATTAAGTAATTTTGCAGAAGTAAAATCTGAACATTGAGAGGGAAACCAGCTTTCTAAAAATAACCAAATAATATAATAGTAAAACAATACAATAAGGAAATAATAATTAAGATTTGTATTGTTTTTTTCCCCACAAAAGATAAAGACAGTTTCTTGGGAAGATTTATGATTTTGATAAATTGTAAATGGAACATCTACATTAACAAAATTAACATTTATTTTATTGTTAATTAAAATAAATACTTTTATGATTGTTTAACATTATTAAAGGTGTTTTATAATGTCTTTTTTCCAGTTTGTGATTTTTACAAAGCAATGTCACCTTAACAGACGCACACTACCGACGGTTTTGCTTTGTTCTGCATGTGCAGATAGTCACCCTCAGCTGCCTGGATCTTCACTTTTACCTACAGAGTATTTCTTTTGTTATCCTACGATAGGAACAAAGAACAGTTTTATAGAAGTTGGTTTGGTGACGGTGTCCAGATCTGAGGCAAATTTAAATTCTGACTGGAAAAAGTAAGTGGTTTTTGATTACAGTACTTTTTATACCTAATACCTAACATTTTGTATTTTCACCACACCCTGAAAGATTGGCTGTAGATTTTTCTTCCTGTATTTTTCTTGAAAATCTTTTGACAAACATAAGTGGGCTTTAAATTCCAAGATTATACTTAGTCATGCTGCAACTTCTTCAAATCTTCAAATAAAAAATAAAATAAAATCAGACTGACAAATCGGACTTAAGCTAAAAAAAAGTCACTGCTTTATTCCTTACTTGCTCAGGGGCCCCCACCATAACAAAACTGATATTGCTATCAGTGACAACATTGAGGATTTGGCAATAAATTGTATGGACACAATCAATGGCCTCCAAAACAAGCAGGAGACACATATTCAGCCAACGGCATCCTGAATGTGAAGAGCCCACACTGGAACAGTAAAAAGGTTTACTCATGTGAAGTGACTCATCTTGTAAAAACAAGCACAAAGAAAGGCTAAAATCTACAACTAAAACTGAAGATTATGTGCATATGCAGCACCTTGAAAAAATACACTGCTTTGCAGTTACAAGCGTTTACACAACCAATGAGAGATGGAAAGGGTGCTACCTGCTGGCCATGGGGATCAGATTAAATCTAAGGCCCTGGGTAGGCAAGTGTACATTAAAAAAGTCTAAACTAAGCTTTAGATGTATCAATTTGTGCAAATGTGTTGTTCTGTCTTTGTGAAAATGTATATTTTGTGATACCAACAGTGTCTGTGAATGTTTATTGGTCATTATATATGTCACTGTTTTCATTTTTCCAACATGGATTTGTCTTTGTCAAAATGTCCAACTAATAAATGTTTTAAATAAATGTGGGCTGGAAATACCATGTTCTGTATTTGTGAATGAAGAATGAGAGAAAATAAAAAATAGTTAGTTTTGAAAGAATGGGAATGTTTATAGAATGCTAAGGATTAGCTTTTCTTTTCTATTTTTCTTTTTCTGTAATTATTTCTATTTTCTGTCCGTGTTCTAGATGTATATATTTTGAGCTTGGTCTCCTAACAAACTGTTAGCGTGGGCTCATAAAGACAATAAATCATTTTGATTACATTTACTGGCTCACAGGGCAGCAGGTGCCTTTTTGCTATTACTTCAATGAAAGGTGGGGTCTCCATTATAAGAAAATGCAATAGAAAGATCACAGGAAAGATCAAAATATATTATAAACACAAACAATTAACTTAACATTTATGTGTTAATCTAATGCAGGAATATGTAGAATAACACAAACAAACAAGATCTTCACAAGAGAAAATGCAAACTCAATGCAGACAGATTCAGGCTGGGATTCGAACCCAAGGCCTTCTTGCTGCAAGTGCTACATGTACATTTTATACATTCCTCAAACCTTATTGAGGAACAGCATAAAGGCATCATTGCATCATTGCTTTACAAAAATATTCCAGTGAACTTTATTTTCTTTCATATTAAAGCCAGAAAATGCAAAAAAAATGTACACCCAACAAACACACAATTGTGACATAAAAGGAAATGGATTGTTTTCAGTGTTGGAACACATGTACTCAGCCCCCTTTACTCTGATATCCTAAATGAAAACTAGTGCCTGATATTACCTTTACAGGCCAGAAAAAGTCTAAGGATCAGACTAAAATCATATATGTGGCATATATCAATTTGTTCTTATTCTTTTTATATGATTTATCTATCCTGATGTTTGCAAGCAGACAATGGCATTGAGGAAGAATTGAGCAGCCTGTTGTTCACAGCCTTGTCTTTTGTATTCCTCTTTGTATTCACCCTTTCATACAGCCTGATGCCCACCATATACAAGGTACATTTAATGTCCGTTTTTTATGAGTAACTGAATTTAACTACATAATACAAAAATATTACAAAAACCACAATAAAACAAGTAATAAGAAACAAGGTAGCAAATTGTATCAATTATTTGTGTGTTTATTTAGAATAAATGATTGGAGAGGAATGGGGGACAAATACGTTGATTTTAATTTATTTTTATTTGCTATGTTGCTATGTTAAAAGGTCATTTAGAAATCGTTTACTGATCACCTCTCATCTTTTAACAATTTCTAAGCTTAGCATTAACCTTAACATTTCTATACAATTTTAGACACACTTTCACAGTAAGCTGCACAAGGGATCTTATGCAGTTTAGTTTTATTTCTACATGTGGTTAAAACCTTAAACATGCAAAATACAAACAAGAAGTCTTGAGGTTTTTTGTTATTAACTCGGCGAAGACATCAATTTCAGTTTCGTCAGTTTGTTCGGATACCAAATCCACCACACCATGAACTGCTGTTATCAGTTAATTCTTGCAGGTTTTCAGTTTCCTTTCAGAGGGCCGCTTCCTCTTGCTCTGTATGCCTTTGAGAAAACACCTGCAGCTGTGAAACTTTGTACAAACCTTCAGAAATATAAATAAACCTTTCAGAATGCAGAAACTCATCTGGCTCCTTTCATTTGACTGTCAGCTGTTGTTCTCGGTTCCAGCAGCATCCTGACTTGCAAACATCGCCACATGAAATGATCAAGCATTACATATTAACAGCGAAGGCGCTAACTGAAAATAAGATATAAACCGTGTTGGTTTAATTTTTTTTTTTACACTTCTCTGTTTGTATATATATTATGTTGTGTTATTTCAAATGATTTCACTTCAATTTTTAGAGTTATTTTTTTTAAAGAAAAAGCCCATCTAGGGACAAGTGCTGTGAATTAGCTGTTGCTATTGCACCATGATGCAAACATGGGACTGCTGTTTCATTCAGTTTGTCTATGTAAATGTGTCTGTCCCTATCAAATAAACTTTAATAAAAAAAAAAATTATTATCTCAGCCGTCTTCCACGATATACATGCTGATGTCAAACAAACATCTAAAGGTAAAAGGCTAAAACATTGTATTTAATTAGTGATTTGGTCTCTACTTAACAGGAACCAATCAATTCTGGAACATACATTTTTAAAAAGTAATAAATATAATCCTTAAAAAGTAGAAACTGATAAAAAACTTTTCTTTTTAAAATTTATATGGTCGCTAACATAAAAATTCAGTACTTAGCAAAACTGTAGTATTTTATTACAGGATAGCTAATAAAACAAAGCTAATAATTAAAAACAACAATTAGAAATTAGAATTTAATTACCAGTTTTTAAACCATTTTTAGACATTTAAAGGGTGAGATTTTGCCGGCTATTCTGTTTTTTTTCGGTCAATCTAATTAGTTTTTTGGGAGATACCAACGTTTATGAGACAGGGTGGCATCAACTATCACCAACACTAGAAAAATGTAACGGGTGCCAAGCTGGGCCGGGTACCACGTCACAATATTGAAAAAAAGATGAGTCTTCAGTGTCTCGCTGGCTTTGGGCTCTGAAAAACAGAGTGAATGATCACAGGATCAAGAACACCGAACCATTCTCTTTCGTTCTTAAAACTCCTCTGATTTATTCACAATTATATAACAAAACAATCAATCAAACAACCAATAAAATATTCCCAAAATCTGCAATAGTGTCTCTTTCAGTGTCCTCTTCCAGGTACAACGTGCATACGAACGTGTATACAGTTCTTATTCCCTTTTTTTCAGGTAGCGAATGTTTCAGGTAAGTAGGTGAGTGTGTGTCACTGTCAGGTAAGTATGATATGTGTGAATGTAGGTGAATGTGCAGTGTCCAGTGTCCATTAAACAGGTGAGTATGTAATGTTGTTTGTTCTGTTCCCATAGAACACAAACATACAGTATAACCATAAAGCTATTGTTATATTCAACATAACCATATAACTCTGTCAAAATACATTAGTTCCTCTCACACTCAGTATCACGCTTTGACTTCAATAAACACCTAAACCCATCATCATTTCACATTGAAATATATCCACGGGCACTCTCTGTATAGGTACTAGTCCCATATAGCTGCCATTAAATAGTACAAATAATATTGTTAGCCAGTGCAGTTTTTATAGTGCTGCTAATCACAACTATAGTGCAATATGAATTCAATTTCATTTTCTTTAGCTTAAAGCTGTTCGGAATACTCAATATGTCTTTTCAAAACGTATTGACATCATTGCAAATGGGAAATAAAAATGGAAAATAACAAATATGTTCAAACCATTCCAACAACAATAAGTGCACTAAAGGCTCACTTATCTTCATAAACCATATAGTGTACAGTAAACCCTTAAACACAAATATTTGGAAATGTAAAGAGAAGAAATATTACAGTATTATAATAAATGTAAAGATAACAAAACCCTTCACCTAATAAAATACAGTTGTCAAGTAATCAGGTAACCTAGTAATATCGTGGATGAATATAAACAACCATCTCTCTGTGTTTAGTACATGTGGTGGACGGCGCCATCTTCAGTGTCACAAGGCCGCCCGTTGCCACGGCGATACCAGGAGCACAACCCGCGAAAATCGCAGACTTTTTATAGTGTCTAAAACTCAATCTAAAGCACTCAAAAATGTCATAAACGGTCTCTGATTTTTTTCACCTTGATTATATGCAGTAACATTTTAGGTCAAGCTAAAGGTTTCACATATGCAAATGTCAAGCTCGTTTCACAGGGGTCACTGAACTTTACTTCTAATCATCCAACGTGCTCTAAGACAATCTTTCTGAAACTGAGGGCTTCTTCATGGGTATCGAGTCATATGAAGAGGTACCAGTACTAACCTAGGAAATAGAAGACTTAAGATGGACTCAAAATTTGTGTATTGAAAAACATGTTTTTACAGCTTGTATATAAATGTATATAAATGCATGTATAGTGTTGGAAATCCCTCCTCAGACATAAATTAATTTCTATTAAAATTATTTATATGGCAGAGCTTTAAATCACATGTCATCTCAACACACTTTATAGAAAGAATGCCTGAATAATATCAGCACGTTTTCAAAATAACTATTTAAGGAAAAGTTAATTATCTGTATACTATAATTTGAACTCAAATCAATTCAATCCAAACTTCTTTTATAAAAGAAACAGATATTAAAATTGAGATATTTAACTTTACATTGAATTTTTCTTTTAAATTCATGTCCAGTTTTTTTTTTGTCCCCTTTTATTAGTTTTAGCTGTTACACTGTTACACAAGTCAGATCTACTGAGCAATGGATGCCATTTGAAAATTTTTTCACAGAGCAAATTTGAAGGAAACAAAAAAAAAATATCTGTCTTTTCTCCATCACTCTGAAGAAAATTAAGCCTGGATCAGAAAAAGTGACTTAGTGAGCAATCTGACAAGGGTCATGTGGTGACATGTAACATAGAACATTTTGTTTGGTTAGCATAAAAATAGATGCATGCAATTTTTTCCCAAGAATGGAAAATTGGGAAACCAGCAAATATACTTTTTGTTCATCCTGATTTATATCTATCAGAGGACAGAAAGTAATCTCTGGTTGCCAAGTACGATCTAAACCATTTTAGCTAAATATCAGCCAATTTCACCTACATTTCCAGTTCATTAAACCGTATGTTAAGATTAACTGTGTCAAATACAACGCTAGATTAAATACCACTAAGACTTAAGTTATAAATAATGTTAGTGCTGTAATGGTTCATGGTTCGGCATTAAAGGACTGAGGAGATCACCTTTATCATAAGGGATCTTTTCCATAGTCTTTGCAATAAAGGTTAGATACAGTGAAGGATTTTAATGACTTATAACTGATTCTACTCTAGAGAAAAAAAAAAGGTTTGACTGCATTGTAGCTCTTGCTGTCGTAGGGTAAATGGAAAGGAAATGAATTATTAGTCATCTGGAATAAACTTTGTATGTCAACTAAGAGCAGGATTTGACATTATGTTTTAGTATTTTTTTTTTATTTTCTTATATTGGTGAGCAGAAAGGGAAATAAAATCCTTATCTTTTCAATACTACAATAATCTATAAACATAATGGCATGATTAGACTTTCTATTTGAAGTAAAAAAACTGGTTTAAATTAGTTAACTTACCAATTTAATTCTAATGTTTAAATTAACCAGAAAAGACTGAATTATATTTGAAATCAGATCTACAGGGCTGTCATGAACCAGACCCTAGAGGCTCAATAAGCTCCGCTTTGCCAAACACAGAAACATTTGTGGTGAAAAATAAGCAAACAAACAAAGAAGCAAAATAAAATATTTAATTTTTAATGATTTAAAAATAATTTCCTTTTTTATATAGCATAGGTAAAATAAATAAAATAAAAAAGCCTATTATGAAATGCATTTAATTTATTTGTTGTAATCTATTTTTATTTATTTATAAGCTACATTAAATGAGGTTTCAGGAAAGGATCTAAAAAATACTCCCATTATGTAAATTTAGTGCTAAGGTTGCTGTCAGCTACAGAAGTAAAGAAACTCCCATCAGATCATCTTCATCACTAACATGTTCTCTGAAGCTCTGCTGCTGCTGCTGGCTGCTGGATCCTGTGAGTCTGACTGAAGGAGAAACATTTACAGCATGATGATCCTAAACTGACTGTCTATGTATTGATCCTAAATGTTTTCTTTACAGATGTATCATGTGAAACTCTGACTCAGCCAGCCTCTTTAACTGTGCAACCAGGTCAACGTCTGACCATCAGATGTCAGGTCTCTTATGATCTGGGCTACCGGACAGCTTGGATCAGACAGGCTGCTGGGAAAGGACTGGAATGGATTGGGATAAAAAATAGCTATGGAAACTCATACTACAAAGATTCTTTGAAGAACAAGTTTAGCATTAATTTAGACACTTCCAGTAAAACAGTGACTTTGAATGGAGAGAATATGCAGCCTGAAGACTCTGCTGTGTATTACTGTGCCAGAGAGTCACAGTGACACAAATAAGCAGCAAAGCTGTACAAAAACCCCTCAGAACATAAAGGTAGACAAATAAAATCACCAGAGGGGGAGCTCTTTGACTAATAAAGACATAAAACCAGTTAAGAACAAACACTCCTAAGTTTAAAAAAAAAAAAAAGTTGGACTGTTGCTTTGAGGAGATTATTGAAAATTAAGAGAAGTCATTTTATACATTTCATTTTCAAACAAATGCAAGTTTTTCCTTCTTTCAGTAATTCATCTCCCAAACAACTGGCTTTACATCAGCAATGAGTCACAGCATAAATAATGACATTAAAAAGTTAAACTAATCCAACAATACAGGGCCATCTACAAGAAGGGCCAAAATCCAGCTTTACTAAGGAGACTCAACTCAGCTTCTTCAATATTTGCAACAAGATGCTTCATATTTTCTATCAGTCGCTGTGACAGACAGCATCTTCCTCCCCGCAGTGGCCTGGAATAAAGACTTTAAGACAAAGGCCATCAAAGGACTGAGTAAACTTCTTACAATCACAGTCTGCCCTGTGCTCTAAATGTGTCACCTTTGAGGATTTGGTGGAATTCAGCATGTCTATTTATCTATATTATCAGTCAGATTTTAACCTTATAATATTTGTTTTTTAAATCATATTTACTATATAAAGCAAAATTCGCTTCAGCACTGATATTGGATTAGATTAGATGCATCAGACTCACATGCCTGAATAGCTGTACTATTTATGAATGACCAGAGGAGGCGCTGTAAGACAACAAAGGAACTGAGTCACCAGAGAATATTTTTACAGTTTGTGTAAATTATACAATTATACATATAAGTTTTAAACAAAAGTTGCTTAGCTATACCTTTGTCTTTAATTAATCAACCATCACAGTCGAGTCAAATTCTGTAGCTTACATCAGTACAAGGCATAAAATATTTTTCTGTTTATTACAAAATTACAAAAACAATTTCTCTGACTGTTTGAGTCATCGGTTAAAAACCTGGAGATTGGGAGTGACTGTTTTGATCTTACTTTAAATAATGATAACAAACATAAATAAAAACCCATTGATTAAAGACTTCTGACAGATCAGCACTCTAATACTTTTTACGCTCAGTGTTTCTTTATTGCTTACAGCTTGGTTCCTTTTAATTGATAACCCCAAATTTGTTTAATGTGTTTAAGAAAACAATGTTATCCTTTCTTTGCAGTGGTTAATAATGAATCAGTCTGCACAGACTGATGGTCAAACACTGACTGAGCCTGAACCAGTAGTTAAAAGGCCTGGAGAATCCCACAGACTGACCTGCAGTGTTTGATGCCCTACTGGAACACTTGGATAAGACAGGCAGCTTGGAAACAACTGGAGTAGATTGCTCTGATCAACAGTGGCAGCAGCAGCATCTACTACTCTGACTCAGTCAGAAACTGGAGACAACAGCAGAAATCAGGTGTTTCTGCAGATGAAGATACTCCTGATTGATACACATGAAATACTCTCAATCTTCTGAGAAATGACTTTTTGAAGTATTTAAGTGTACAAACATTTGACTGGAAACTATTATTTAGAAGAAATTTATAATAAACATACATATTAAACATTATAATAGATAGTAATCATTAAAAGCCTAAAGACTGAGGAAAAATAGAGAGTTCAGATATTTTTCTAATTAAAAGAAATTACAAAGGGCATGCAGGTGGTGCAAGGTTTAAGCATGCAACTAATGTATGAAAGCTTTGGTGCTTGATGTGGCTCTAACAGGTTTAATGATCTGTCCCTTCCCATTCCCTCTCTCTTATCCTGCCTGCATACTTTTGTAAATAGAGGACAGTAATGCCTCAAAATAATCTTAGAAAACTGCATATTCTCTCCATTCAGAGTCATTATTTTGCAGGAAGTATCTAAGTTAATGCTAAACTTGTTCCTCAAAGTAATTTTTAAATTTATTTTTTTCTGGTGGTTTATTGAAAAAGAAAAAAATAATGTGGTCATTAATATAAATAAATACAATTTCAGTTTATTATTTCATACATTTTTTTTATTTATGAAACCGATAGAGAAACCCATTTATGGATGCAGCTTTATTCTCACTGAAGTTCTGAAATAGTAAAATCTCAATATATTTTTCACTGAAATGTAAAATATATATTGTTAATGATAAAATTAAACTACTGTAGATCTCTTCTTTCACTGTCTGTTTCCAGAATGAGAGGAAAGAGGAAGAAAGTCACCCTGATTTATATTGAATCAAACCAAGGGATGTATCTGTGTAATAATTAAACAGCTGGAGATATTTTACCTTAATATTGGAGATGTAGTTATATTGTCTTAATTCAGATTAAAGAACAAACATTTTAGAAAGTGTGGTTAAAGTAATGACTACCTGTTTATCATTATGCAAATGATTGGTTCTGGTTTAAAGTGTTGATCTGATGCTGTGAGGCTGCAGAAGAAGAGAAACTCCCATCAGATCATCTTCATCACCAACATGTTCTCTGTAGCTCTGCTGCTGCTGCTGGCTGCTGGATCCTGTGAGTCTGACTGAAGGAGAAACATTTACAGCATAATGATCCTAAACTGACTATGTATTGATTCTAAATGGGTTTTGTTTACAGATGTATCATGTGAAACTCTGACTCAGCCAGCATCTTTAACTGTGCAGCCAGGTCAACGTCTGACCATCAGATGTCAGGTCTCTTATTCTCTGGGCTACCGGACAGCTTGGATCAGACAGGCTGCTGGGAAAGGACTGGAATGGATTGGGGAGAAAGGCACTGGAGGCTCCTACTACAAAGACTCACTGAAAAACAAGTTCAGTATTGACTTAGACACTTCCAGTAAAACAGTGACTTTTAATGGAGTGAATATGCAGCCTGAAGACTCTGCTGTATATTACTGTGCCAGACGACCACAGTGACACAAACAAGCAGCAGAGCTGTACAAAAACCCCTCAGAACATAAAGGCAGATAAAGAAAATCACCAGAGGGGGGAGCTCTTTGACCAAAAAACATATAAAACCAGTTAAGAACAAACACTCCCAAGATATGGCATATACCATGTTTGACTGTTGCTTTGAGGAGATTATTGAAAATTAAGAGAAGTCCTTTTATACATTTCATTTTCAAACAAATGCAAGTTTTTCCTTCTTTCAGTAATTCATCTCCCAAACAACTGACTTTACATCAGCAATGAGTCACAGCATAAATAATGAGATTAAAAAGTTGAACTAATCCAACAATACAGGGCCATCTACAAGAAGGGCCAAAATTCTGCTTTACTTCCTAAGGAGGCTCAGCTCAGCTCCTTCAATATTTGCAACAAGATGCTTCATATTTTCTATCAGTCACTGTGACAGACAGCATCTTCCTCCCCGCAGTGGCCTTGGATGAAGACTTTAAGACAAAGGCCATCAAAGGACTGAGTAAACTGCTCACAATCACAGTCTGCTCTGTGCTCTAAATGTGTCACCTTTGAGGATTTGGTGGAATTCAGCATGTCCATTTATCTATGTTATCAATCGGATTTTACCCTCATAATATTTGTTTTTTAAATCATATTTAACTATATAAAGCAACATTCGCATCAGCAGTGATATTGGATTAGATTAGATGCATCAGACTCACATGCCTGAATTGCTGTACTATTCATGAATGACCAGAGGAGGCGCTGTAAGACCACAAAGGAACTGAGTCACCAGAGAATATTTTTACAGTTTGTGTAAATTATACAATTATACATATAAGTTTTAAACAAAAGTTGCTTAGTTTTATCTTTGTCTTTAATTAATCAGCCATCAACCATCACAGTCAGGTCACATTCTGCACCTTACATCAGTACAAGACATAAAATGTTTTTCTGTTTATTACAAAATTACAAAAACAATTTCTCTGACTGTTTGAGCCATCGGTTAAAAACCTGAAGATTGGGAGTGACTGTTTTGATCTTACTTTAAGTAATATTAACAAACATCAATAAAAAAAAAAACATTGATTAAAGATTTCTGACTGATCAGTACTCTAACACTAACACTTTTTACGCTCAGTGTTTCGTTATTGCTTACAGCTCCATTCCTTTTAATTGATAAACCTAAATTTGTTTAATGTGTTTAAGAAAACAATGTTATCCTTTGTTTGCGGTTGTGAATAATGAATCAGTCTGCACAGACTGATGGTCAAACACTGACTGAGCCTGAACCAGTAGTTAAAAGGCCTGGAGAATCCCACAGACTGACCTGCAGTGTTTGATGCCCGTTACTGGAACACTTGGATCAGACAGGCAGCTGGGAAAGAACTGGAGTAGATTGCTCTGATCAACAGTGGCAGCAGCAGCATCTACTTCTCTGACTCAGTCAGAAACTGGAGACAACAGCAGAAATCAGGTGTTTCTGCAGATGAAGATACTCCTGATTGATGCACATGAAATACTCTCAATCTTCTGAGAATTGAATTTTGAGGAATTTAAATGTACAAACATTTGACTGGAAACTATTATTTAGAAGAATTTTATAATAAACATAAATATTAAACATTATAGCATATAGTAATCATTAAAAGCCTAAAAACTGAGGAAAAATAGAGAGTTCAGATATTTTTCTATCTAAAAGAAATTACAAAGGGCATTCATGTGGTGCAGGTTTTAAGCATGCAACTAATGCATGAAAGCTTTGGTGCTTGATGTGGCTCTCACAGGTTTAATGATCTGTCCCTTCCCATTCCCTCTCTCTTATCCTGCCTGCATACTTTTGTAAATAGAGGACAGTAATGCCTCAAAATAATCTTAGAAAACTGCATATTCTCTCCATTCAGAGTCATTATTTTGCAGGAAGTATCTAAGTTAATGCTAAACTTGTTCTTCAAAGTAATTTTTAAATTAAAAAAATAAAAGAAAAAAATAATGTGGTCATTATTAATATAAATAAATACAATTTCAGTTTATTATTTCATACATTTTTTTTTATTTATGAAACCGATAGAGAAACCCAATTATGGATGCAGATTTATTCTCACTGAAGTTCTGAAATAGTAAAATCTCAATATATTTTTCACTAAAATGTAAAATATATATTGTTAATGATGAAATTAAACTACTGTAGATCTCTTTTTTCACTGTTTGTTTCCAGAACGAGAGGAAAGAGGAAGAAAGTCACCCTGATTTATATTGAATCAAACCAATTGATGTATCTGTGTAATAATTAAGCAGCATGAGATATTTTACCTTAATATTGGGGATGTAGTTATATTGTCTTAATTCAGATTAAAGAACAAACATTTTAGAAAGTGTGGTTAAAGTAATGACTACCTGTTTATCATAATGCAAATGATTGTTTCTGGTTTAAAGTCTTGATCTGATGCTGTGAGGCTGCAGAAGAAGAGAAACTCCCATCAGATCATCTTCATCACCAACATGTTCTCTGTAGCTCTGCTGCTGCTGCTGGCTGCTGGATCCTGAGTCTGACTGAAGGACAAACATTTACAGCATAATGATCCTAAACTGATTGACTACGTATTGATCCTAAATGTTTTCTTTACAGATGTATCATGTGAAACTCTGACTCAGCCAGCCTCTTTAACTGTGCAGCCAGGTCAATGTCTGACCATCAGATGTCAGGTCTCTTATGATCTGAGCTACTTGACAGCTTGGATCAGACAGGCTGCTGGGAAAGGACTGGAATGGATTGGGATAAAAAATAGCTATGGAAACTCATACTACAAAGATTCTTTGAAGAACAAGTTTAGCATTAATTTAGACACTTCCAGTAAAACAGTGACTTTGAATGGAGAGAATATGCAGCCTGAAGACTCTGCTGTGTATTACTGTGCCAGAGAGTCACAGTGACACAAATAAGCAGCAGAGCTGTACAAAAACCCCTCAGAACATAAAGGTAGACAAAGAAAATCACCAGAGGGGGAGCTCTTTGACTAATAAAGACATAAAACCAGTTAAGAACAAACACTCCTAAGTTTAAAAAAAAAAAAAAAGTTGGACTGTTGCTTTTAGGAGATTATTGAAAATTAAGAGAAGTCATTTTATACATTTCATTTTCAAACAAATGCAAGTTTTTCCTTCTTTCAGTAATTCATCTCCCAAACAACTGGCTTTACATCAGCAATGAGTCACAGCATAAATAATGACATTAAAAAGTTAAACTAATCCAACAATACAGGGCCATCTACAAGAAGGGCCAAAATCCAGCTTTACTAAGGAGACTCAACTCAGCTTCTTCAATATTTGCAACAAGATGCTTCATATTTTCTATCAGTCGCTGTGACAGACAGCATCTTCCTCCCCGCAGTGGCCTGGAATAAAGACTTTAAGACAAAGGCCATCAAAGGACTGAGTAAACTTCTTACAATCACAGTCTGCCCTGTGCTCTAAATGTGTCACCTTTGAGGATTTGGTGGAATTCAGCATGTCTATTTATCTATATTATCAGTCAGATTTTAACCTTATAATATTTGTTTTTTAAATCATATTTACTATATAAAGCAAAATTCGCTTCAGCACTGATATTGGATTAGATTAGATGCATCAGACTCACATGCCTGAATAGCTGTACTATTTATGAATGACCAGAGGAGGCGCTGTAAGACAACAAAGGAACTGAGTCACCAGAGAATATTTTTACAGTTTGTGTAAATTATACAATTATACATATAAGTTTTAAACAAAAGTTGCTTAGCTATACCTTTGTCTTTAATTAATCAACCATCACAGTCGAGTCAAATTCTGTAGCTTACATCAGTACAAGGCATAAAATATTTTTCTGTTTATTACAAAATTACAAAAACAATTTCTCTGACTGTTTGAGTCATCGGTTAAAAACCTGGAGATTGGGAGTGACTGTTTTGATCTTACTTTAAATAATGATAACAAACATAAATAAAAACCCATTGATTAAAGACTTCTGACAGATCAGCACTCTAATACTTTTTACGCTCAGTGTTTCTTTATTGCTTACAGCTTGGTTCCTTTTAATTGATAACCCCAAATTTGTTTAATGTGTTTAAGAAAACAATGTTATCCTTTCTTTGCAGTGGTTAATAATGAATCAGTCTGCACAGACTGATGGTCAAACACTGACTGAGCCTGAACCAGTAGTTAAAAGGCCTGGAGAATCCCACAGACTGACCTGCAGTGTTTGATGCCCGTTACTGGAACACTTGGATCAGACAGGCAGCTTGGAAACAACTGGAGTAGATTGCTCTGATCAACAGTGGCAGCAGCAGCATCTACTTCTCTGACTCAGTCAGAAACTGGAGACAACAGCAGAAATCAGGTGTTTCTGCAGATGAAGATACTCCTGATTGATGCACATGAAATACTCTCAATCTTCTGAGAATTGAATTTTGAGGAATTTAAATGTACAAACATTTGACTGGAAACTATTATTTAGAAGAATTTTATAATAAACATAAATATTAAACATTATAATAGATAGTAATCATTAAAAGCCTAAAAACTGAGGAAAAATAGAGAGTTCAGATATTTTTCTATCTAAAAGAAATTACAAAGGGCATTCATGTGGTGCAGGTTTTAAGCATGCAACTAATGTATGAAAGCTTTGGTGCTTGATGTGGCTCTCACAGGTTTAATGATCTGTCCCTTCCCATTCCCTCTCTCTTATCCTGCCTGCATACTTTTGTAAATAGAGGACAGTAATGCCTCAAAATAATCTTAGAAAACTGCATATTCTCTCCATTCAGAGTCATTATTTTGCAGGAAGTATCTAAGTTAATGCTAAACTTGTTCTTCAAAGTAATTTTTAAATTAAAAAAATAAAAGAAAAAAATAATGTGGTCATTATTAATATAAATAAATACAATTTCAGTTTGTCATTTCATACATTTTTTTATTTATGAAACCGATAGGGAAACCCAATTATGGATGCAGATTTATTCTCACTGAAGTTCTGAAAT